TTGGAGTGCTGTGTTTCATCTCCTTCTTCACGGTCACTGGGGGTCACCATGCCTTCCTGGGGGTGAGTTGGCGTATGCCCCGTTTTTCTTCTCAACCGCCTCTCCTCTCTCCTTCTGGCTTTTACTGTCTGTCACTCTCTAGGTAACTGCAACTGCATAATTTAATGGCCTTGGAATCAGAAGTCCCTAGTACTTGTGTCAACATTACCCACATTCTTTCACAGTGTGGCCTTGGATAAGTGAGTCATTTCATCTCTTTAGAACTTAGATGACCAAACTGCAAAAGGACAAGGATCTTCAGTTAAACCACCTTGGAGATCTTTTCCAGCTCAACGCAGTCTCTACTATGGCCTCTTAGGCGCGGAAGAATCATAGGGATTGACGTGAGCCGTCCCTGGACCCTGTCTTCCTGTTGGTACCCACTTTCTTGATGTTTTCATTCAGAATCCTGGTTTTAATGTTCTTTACACACTGATGACCCCAAATGTATATCTCCATGTCAGACCTCTTCCCTGAATCCCACACTCATGTGTACACTGCCAACCTGTTCTCTCCAGCGGGGTACCGAATAGGCCCCTCAACTTCATATGTCCAAAATCAGACTCATGCTTTTTTCTCATCAAACCTACTCCTTTCACGTCTCAGCAAGTGGTACCACCATCTCGCCAGCTACTAAGGCAAAAAACTTAGTGCTTATGCTTGCCTCTTCTCACATTTCATACCTAAACCATTGGCATTATTTTTCTAGCTTTATCTTTAAAATATATCTAGAATTCAAAAACTTCTCACTACATCCATGGCTGCTACCTTGATATCCACCTTCATCATCTCTCACCTGTTTTATTTCAACAACCCCTGAAATGCTCTGTCATTGCCTCTGTGCTTGTCTCTTCTCAACACGGCTTCAGGACTGAGCCTTTAGAAGGCAAATTAGAGCATGACTTTCCTCTGTTCAAAATTATCCAGTGGTTTCCGACCTCACTCAGGTAAAAGGTAAAACACTCTCTGTGGCCTGTCATGGTCTACATGGCCTGCCTCTCCAGAAACTCTCTGAACCTCCCCCTCCCCCACCCCTCACAGCTACTCTGGTGTCTCTGCTCTGCCTTCACGTGCCAGACATACTCTTACCCGTGGGCCTTTTCCTCTGCCTGGAAAGCTGTTCCTTCAGGGATCATTACTTTCTCATTTCCTTTAGGTTCTTGCTCAAAATTCGCTTCAGCGAAGCATCTCCTGGCCACCTCTCCACCATCCCTGGCTTGGATTTCACAGCCATGATTTTAATTCTGCTGGGAAACCAAACAAGGCCTTATAAAGTACAACTGTCCAAAGCCTCACCATAACTGTTTTGTTTTTTTTTTTTCTTTTTAACAGAGAAATGATGGCATCAAAACAAAGAGAGAACTCATTGTGAATAAGACAAATCATCTAGGTGAGACTCTGTTAGCAGGAGTGGTACAGTGGACTTTGGTGCCAGAGGTCAGCGTCCAAACCACAGACGTGCCTCTGACTGATTGTATGACCTTAGGCACATTATGAAACACCCAAATCTGTATAATGAGAATAACAGTAATTCCTAAGAGCAAGATACTTGTGAGGATTAAATAATATAATAAAGGCTTAGTATCTTGCCCTATACCTGGTAAGTAGCTGTCCATATACTTCCTTTTTGTCCTTGCCTTGACCCTAACAATGGAATTAATGGGCACAGCCCTCAGTCTAGAAATGATTTGTGTTCTGAGATTTCACTTGGGGGTCTGATGTTTCCAGGGCTGAATGTATTTCCTCACAGAATCAGTGTTGTATACAGATGGTCGTTTGGTTCCTGGGTCCACAAAAGCTTTTCTACCATGTAATAAATCTACCATACAATAATGTGCTAACAGCATTAATACCATAGCACCTACCCCATGCAAGGTTGCATTTGAGAAAATGAAATCAAAATTTCAACTTACAATGCTATGAATACATTTTTCCTGAGAGTAGAAAGGACAAAATATAGCAAGTATCTATTGGACTGTTACTAAGTGCCAGGTACTATTTAAATACACCAGATGCATTAACTCCTCATATGGACACTCCGAGTTAGGGACAGTGGCCATCTTTATTTTACAGATAGCGAAACAGAGCTAGGGGCAGGAGCCAGGACTCAAAAACCCAGTCAACCTGGCTCCAGAACGTGGGCCACTAACCCCTGACAGTGTGAGCAGGGCCAGCCTGTTCCCTGCTCCCCACCCCTCACCCGTGTGAGCAGGATGAGTGGGAATTGCCTCAGCTCCCACCTTTAGGGATGCCCACAGCCTGGCACAGGGGCTCCAGCCTGTAGGGAGATGGGGGGAGCTGGGGAGAGTGAGACGGGGCTGAGGTGCTCCGGTATGAGAGGTTGGGTCCTCCATAGATAAGCTTTGGAGGATTTAAGCCCCCAGGAATGTCGTACTGAATTTTAAATGAATTTTGGGTGGGAGAAGACTCATGGGATTGATCTTCTCTCCCAGTCAAAACCCGTTCATGGCCTCTCCTTGGGGAAGGAAAAGATGCTGCTCAGAAACGATGAGCTGGAGGTGACGATGCACAAAGCTGAGAGTGCAGGCTTAGTTTTGGTTTGCTTCTGTATTTCATATAAATGCCAGACAGCTAATCAATGGGTTGTTTTTTTGCAGAAGAAGGAAGGGCCCCCTCCCCCCCTAAGTCCGAGTTTCAAATATGTCCATCCTTCGGGTGGTGCGCATTGCACTCTTTGTGTATGCAAATACCCGTCCCCTCCTCCCTCTTCCCCCCTCCCCCCTCTTCCCTCCCCTCTGCCCAACATCCAATAGATGGAAAGACAAACACCACATGTACTCACCATCAAATTGATATTAACTGATCAACACATAAATGCACATATAAGGAAGGGCTCTTTGGGAAGTGTGAGATTGGAGGTTTTCTATTAGAGATAACTCAAGGACACCAGGGCTGGTGGAGGGAGGGAAGCATGACTAGAATGTCCTCACCTCTCCTTTCCTCAATCTTGACACCTAACCTTGACTCTGAGTGTGCCCTGAAGAAGTGTGCAGGTGGTTGTAGCGGGGACAGAGAGCACAGGAGCAGCTGGCCTGGCAGAAGTGAGAGGACAGACGTATATTCCGCCTCTGCAAGAACCGTCTGCTCAGGTTTACTCTGGATGTTCGTTTTTAGTCAGTGTCTGGATGAGCAGAACTCAGGCGAGAGCAGCAGGGGACAGTGCCTGCCCTGCAGGCTGAATCTGATGACTGTCCCCCAGTCACTTCCTCAGCAGTGTTTCCCCACCCACAGCAAGGAGGCTTCTGACTGTCTCTCTCTCTTTAGCCCCAGTCCAGGAATATGAGCTGCTGCTTCAGGTGACCTATAGAGATTCCGAGGAGAAAAGAGACTTGAAGAATTTTCTGAAGCTCTTGAAGCCTCCATCACCATGGTTACATGGGCCCACGAAGATTATCAGAGCGAAGGCCACCACACGTAAGTCAGCTGTCTGGTGGCAGGAAATGTGAACGGGGAAGGTGGGCACATCAGTCAGGGCAGGTGAGGTTATGCCCCAGAGACAATCATCCCACAGTCTCTGTAGCGTGAAAGGGTAGAGGTTTCATTTCTTCTTCATGTCCATTGCAGGTTGGCAGAGGGGCTGTGTTTGTTGTCACTTGGGTACTCAGGCTGGTGAATCAGATCCTATTTAAACTGTACCCATCCTGAGCCAAAAAGAAATGAAACGCTAGAGGGTTTCACATGGCAGTTGTAAATTCTCTGACTCAGAAGTGACACACACTAATTCTGCTCACAACTTATTGGCTAGAACTGGCCTTGTGGCCCCGACCAATTTAGAAGGAGCCAGGATATGCAATCCCATGTGCCTGGAAGAGAGTAAGAAATATTTGTCAAACAGCACTCACAAGCACAAAGACCGGGTGAAGAGAAATTAAATTATTTTAAAGCAGGGACTCTCAAAGTGTAGTGACCAAGCAGCAGCATCAGAGAACTTCATAGACATGCAAACTCTTGGCCTATCTTAGACTTAGTGAGTTGGAAACTCTGGGGTGAAACCCTCCAGCTGACTCTGATGCACAAGAAAGCTTGAGAACCACTCACTGCACACCACACCATATGCATTTTCACAAAGGCGTTTAGTGACTATGTCTCATTTTTTTGCCTGTTGAAAAGGAATGACTTTGGTGGGAATTTCAGGAGTGGTAGAGGGAATGAGTATACTGGATTGCTGGCGGGTGGAAATTTTTCATCACTCCTCCAAAAATGTCTCTTTGTCGTTGCCATCTTGCTGATAGAACCTACCTGGGCATGGTGGCAGGTGGGTGGAAGGGAGCCTCCACTAAGATAACAGTCAAATACCTTCTAGAATCCTTTAAATCCTCGCACGTTACCAATATCCCCTTCTGCTTTTCTTCTCCATTGCAGCAGGTATCTATGGGGCATGTAGCCTTCCTTTGGATGCCAACACCAGCCATTTTGGTTTTATGTTTGTTAGATTTCTGATACCAACCTTGGACTCTATGGAGATGGACATTTCTTTACCTTAAATATATTGCCTTCCTGGTTTCATTCTTCTAGCTTTTGGTGAGAAATACTTGGTTCAGATTCCATGTCAGAGCCAAGGATCAGAACTCAGCAATGGTTAATTGTTAAACCGGACTCTATGAAACCAGGTCCTGCTCTTTGTGCAGACTGCAGCAGCCTGAATGGAGACCTGCAGTGTGCCTGTGAAGACGGCTACACCTGGTTCCCCCACTCCTGCCTCGACCCCCAGAACTGCTACCTTCACATGGCTGGATCACCCCCGAGTTGTGAATGTCATCTCAGCAACCTCAGCCAGAGTGTCAATTTCTGCGAGAGAACAAGTAAGCCCATAAGAATGCTCTGAGCTGGGGCTTCTACTCCAGTGTGGGACAGAGAGGGGATTCTAACTCTTTGCCTTGCTGAGGACAGCTAATGTCTATGGGGTGATCGAAGGACAGTGAGGACACACCCTGCTAGGTTTGGCTGGGCACAGTGAGCTTCACAGTGCAGTAGATCCAGACACACAAGTTGACATTTGGATGTCACTTCAACCTTTAGATACATCCAGCTCAGTTCTGCAATTATATGACTCTATTGTGATTTGGGGACATTCGCTAAAATCCCAAGCAGGGAAACTGCTTGAGTAAGCAACGTTTTTCTTCTTACCCTCTTTTCTCCTCTTTTGGCAACATCAATTCTGAGCAAAGGGAAATCTAGAGATGGGAATGCAGGGAGGAACACATAGTGATTATTTTGAAAGAAATGCTCCAAAGTGCCAGTGTGCCAGTGTGTACTGAATGCATCACTGAAACAAAACAAAAGCTCAAGTCCAGCTTGGGAAACCAGTGAGAGCTGAGGGGGCTACTGTGGACTTGGGGCTTATGTTCAGTGAATGATGGGGTGAGTCAAATAACATGGACTCCGGGACAGGAAGAACTTCAAAAAGATTCCCCAAAGACTGCTCTGGTTATGTTGAAACTCCAGATTTTGGTGGAGCTGAGCGAAGAGTGAGGGAGGAACCCCAAATAGCCCAGCTTAAGTGGACATCCCTGGCTCCCCGTCCTGGGACCACAGCAATTCAGGTTATGGCAACACACGTTTATCAAGAACCATCTTTACACCCCATGCTGGGACAAATTCTAGAATACAAAGAAGCATTTCTCTCGCTAGCTATGAATTAGCAGGTGAGGTGGGAAGACCAGGCTGTAATGTAAGAAAGAAAACAATGGAATTTCTTCAACAAATGTTGATGAAATCTTAGCTTTTGAAAGATGGTCTGGTCTGATCCATCTTGAAAAGATACAAAGGTTGATCCGACAGGGATTACACTCACGAGAGGTTTCCCATGGTATTGTGGGGATAGGCATAGATGAGACAGGTACACACATAGATGCTTAGGGACTAGGGGCTGTGAAGGAGGTATGGATAAGTAGGAATTCAGAGGAGAGACAGACTGCATCTGGAGATTAGGGAAAGGCTCGCAGAAGAGGTGGTATGTGATTAGGTCCCGAATGAAGGATAAACAGGATTTTTCCATACAGAGACCTGTCTCAGTGCAGAGAAGCACAAGCAATGGGTAGGAAAGTGCATGCTGGAGTTAGCAAGTAGTATTGTTGTTGTTTTTAAAATTTTTTTAATAGGGACAGTGGTTAAGCTCATCGCCTAGATGCGGTTACATTTCAGTGTTCTATGACTGCTTTCTTTAGCCACATATGAGTGGCGACCTACTCATAAGGTTGTCTTGATTTCCAGCACTTTCCCATTACTATTCCAAATCCATAA